GTATTTCACAGTATTACATATAAGAACTGCCTACCATTGATGTCTCTGTTTGTATTTCATGATTAACCTCTATCTTGCTTGTTGAATTATTCTGTGTTGGTACCATAGGACTTGGCTGAACTCCACCTGATCTAAACCTTTGTAACTGTGCTTCCAGTACCCCCACTTTCTAAGCAGACACAGGAAAATATATATTAGACACATAAATCAGCAGTATTTACATGGAATGTTCATATTCACAATTCCCCATTGTTTTATTTGAAAGATTTTTTCCCACTAAGTACCGGTAGTCTTATTTTTCAGGACTACGCACATTTAAAAACATGACCATGACAGTGATGTTATTTTCAACTGTCTGTGTATGTCGTAGTATGCCTTCAGAGCATGCACCAATATTTCTTGATCAGCCTCTGCTCAACGTATCCATTTTATTTTCATTCTTTTTTTCAGTGCCAACATTCTCTTCAGTAATCTCTGACTTTCTGTCAGTGTGCATGCCACCATAAGTCAACATTCAAATTTCCTTTTGTTTTTATTCTAGATTTTGTTGCATCACCATACCTGTAATTCTTTATCATATTTTATCTGTGTGAGTTGTGATTCTAACATCCAATGTTCTTTGTCCTGTTCCAGTTTGGTTATTTTCTCTAGATTACTGGCTACATGCTGAGCAAGTCCCTCTTTACTCTCCGTGGAACTCAGCAATATCCTTCGGTTCTGTATTGCAGTTTCATAGGGCACAGATTCTGGGGGAGACTGTGATAGAAGTAGTAAGTTTTTATTTCATACCTCATCATTGAACACAGTGTTCAGAAATTGAACACTCAATTCAAATAAGGAATCTACCTATGGCAGTTGAAATCAACACATGTTAGTATTGATATTTCTACAGATTTTGATAGTTCATGCAGAACACATACTAGTGTTCGTAATTCTGATATATTCTATTTTTGTTGATTGCAAGAATCATTCCATGCATTATGCAACTGCCTTCAGTCTGATCCAGTAGTCTATATTCTTATATACGAGACCTGCATGATACAGAGGTTGTACAACAGTGAACCATGTTAATTCCATCGCCAAAAACACAGCCAATCACAACCCATGCCAATGGTTTGGGTTGTTTTCTGTGAATAATAAAGCTACATACTAATAAAGTTTCCACTCAAAACATTTCATACACTACCTATCCCTCCCACTCATTCATTTATTCGTTCATTCATTTGTTTTCTGGAAAAATCGTAAATTGGTTTAGTAAATACCCTTTTCAATGCAGCCATGTACTGCACAGCTTTCTGTCTGAACTGAGTCACTGCTGGTGATGTGGACGGACCATCAGATTCTAAAGGACCAACAAAACTATGACCTCTTGTACGGAAACCAACAGGACCACTGAAGAAATCAATGTGAGATTTGACAAAACTAGACATCTGCAGAAAGCCAATAAAAAAGAAAAAAAGTGTCACACAAGCCAGAAATCTATCTACCAATTAAAAATAAAATGAATCACTTAAAACTGTAACAAAATTTATAAGTTAAACATCTAAAACTGGTGTGATATTTAAAGACGATTTAATTATGAAATTTAAGTAACATGAATTGAAGGATCAAAAAGGTGTATTCAGAAAAACATAACACATTTGTCTGCGAGTGGCCTTGTGTACTCAGAGTGCATAAATTATGTTCTTTTTTAATAGGACAATAATGCTGCTCATTTCAGTTTACACAATCAAACCTAACCAAGCATCAGTCTGTGATGTAACTGCAAAGAAATAAGTTTCATCTTGCATGTAATTGGATCGTATATAACCTAACAATGGATATCTAATTTGCATATCTTTATGTGGTGATAAAAACATTATTTAATACATTAAAACCTATCATAATATAACACATAGAAGCCTGGTTAAATCATGAAAACTATGCCTACCTTTCCAGTAGACGTCACGAGTGATATAAGCGATGATACGACGCACTCATCAGTGGTTTTAAGTTTCTGAGATGCAGTTGGTAATTGATGCTCTAATGATACTTTGGAATTATAATGTTTTGAAACGTCTGTGAAAAAAAAAAAGATTACAGTACATATTATTTTAAACCTGCAATCTACATTTTAGAGGTAAGGTGTTTCTTGACCACATTAGTTTCAGTACTGACGCAATAACCTTCACTAGTTTGTTAAGTGTTGTATTTATTCACTTTGTCATTCATTTTTTCAAATTTTGACAGTTTTTAGTAAATCTTGTTTGTACGCCAGGTTTGAGAACTCTCCCCTTGGACCATCTCAGGTAGTAGTCAAATATCTCTTTGTATGAATGGTCTCAACTGTGTGAGATATATAGGTTACCGTTACACATATATTTCACATACTGTAGGTAGGAGATGCATTTCTAAAATAATTGTCACAGTATTGGAGACTCCTTACTTTTGAGACGAGTGACACATTTATTATTATGAAATTTTACCACTAAATTTTCTAGCATCAAAAATTAAACAGTACTGTAAATGCATTAATTATTCACTCAGTTTTAATTTGACTATTTTAACGGATAAGAGAAATTTACTAAATAAATCTACATGAATATGTAAAATCACAATAGAAATGATAGTTTAATTTGAAAAATCTGTGAATACAATTAAATATCGAAATAGTGACATAGAGTATCAGTAAAACTTAATGCCTTTACAGTACACTAACTTCATTCCCAGCATGCAGTGAAATATTTACCTCTCATGACACTATAAAGGTCTTCTATACATTTAGACAGCTGTTTGAATAGGACACTGTGATTGGCTGCTGGTATATCACATGACTTTTTACTAATTGATGCGATACAATAAATATAAGTATCTAATCTACTTAGCACAGTTGCAAGTTTCTTCAAAGCCACATGTAATTCCATATTTCTAATTTCTAATGTCTTGGAGCAGCTCGATATCGCACATTCTTCCTCTAAACTGTAAAAAATAACAGTATTATCTTATTGAATACATTGATTGTTGTGATAACGAATATTTCAATAACAATGAACAGCGCCTTCATGTGATAGTAAATGTAATTACATGTAATCCACATTTAGTTCTCACAATAAGAATACATTCATGTTTGTCATGATTATACAGAAAGGGGGGGGGGATTTTGGCCCAAACTAGGCTTGACCAAACTATGTAAATTAATTTGTAACAATTCGTGCTTGTTTATTCATGACAAAGGGATTAATAAATCAGTGAATTCTATATTGAACTGTAGAGGGCAGTGTTTCACCAAAACACTGATGGACAACTTACCTAAGAAGTTGGTAAGGTAATAACTTTTGATGATAATACACATAACTTCTGAACTTGTCAGCAAAATTCTGAAGACCAATTGCAGTTTCCTGAGAAATAAAAATAAACAATTAACATCCTCAGCATATCTGGTCTCCATATTATCAACTTGTACATGCCTACACTGCCCTCTACTGTCAGAACACAATCTACTCAAGTTTACAGTAAATACAGATTTCTTATCACATTATCATGCATGACATACCACATGTTTTGGGAAATGAAATCTGTTTTTTGTAATCACAACACATTCTGTCCTTGGTGATCAACTAGGCTACAGGTATTTGACAAACCTTTTTTCTTGAGTTGGTTGAACTCGGAAGCCAAATAAAAATTGTGTACAGCTGAGCATTATGGGAGAGAACTTGCTATTGTAAACACTGGTAATGGGAAAAATAGGCTAGAAAATGAATTAAATGTTAATGTTTTGATAATAATATACAACTTTTCATCTTACCAAGCAAAATTTCAAGATAATAAATACTTTCCCCATAGAAACAAGTGCAAAATATGTGTTCAAGACCATCCTCTGCATAAAGTCTAAATTTCTAAAAAACATTTGATACCTTTTTCGCATTAAATTTGTATTTAATGACTGTTCACTGGGCAAAGAAATATGTACATGTTGCTGGCGACGACTTATATAGACTGTGTTCATCTAGTTGGTGGACAGTTGAAGCCGCATGTTAATTTATTCAAGGCAGGAAAAGTAGTAGAGATAATTTCTGGAAATTTTAACCGTGTGTGTCATTGGGAAGGCACTCTTTGTGTGTCACATAACTATGTTTACTAAAATAGGGTGGGCGATCGATTGACACTCAGCTCATTCGTATCACAACTTCATCCATTTGTTTGAATGTACACAGTAAAATTGAATAGGTGTCAAGCTTGACTGTGGGTGATAACGAGAACACTGAGATGAATGACCTGGAGTACAAAATATGCAATTTATTTTAATGGCATTCACCAATAATTATGAAAGCATGAAGAAGATAAAAAACATATACTTTCATTTTGGCTAGAACCTCTTTAGCAAATGTTTTTGTAGTGAGGTTCAACCAAACATTATTATTATGTGATAATTATTTATCAACAAAGAATGTTTCTATCAAAATGTTTGTTTGATTGTTAATCTCCTCGGATAACCAGCTAAATGTTTAATAGACAAGAGCCCATGGTGTATTTCCACTTACCAGTGTAATCAAAGCATCGTCTTTGACACTGTCTTGAAAATTCGTAAATGCTGCTTCTATTGCTCTCAGATAAGATGCGTTTTCATGTAAATAACTACAATACTGGAGAATATATAAAACAAATAAACATGAATAATATCCGACACAGCGTAAATTATAGGTTTTAACATGCCTTGGATTGCTTTGACAGAACAACTTTTCAACAAAACTGACACAAATATTTAATTATACTGAAAAAAAATTTATTTTAGCTTAAATTAATTTCTCTGAAAAGACTTTTTCGGTGTTTCGTATGGAATTTATTTTCACTGATTCTTGACGAGTTGAATGTAAAATATAAGAAATAAAAGTATATTCGCTGGATTTTATTTTCACTGAATCATTCTTTCAACGAAAATAGTGAAAATTAGTTCCAAGCGAAAATAAATTATTTTACAGTAGGACATAGCTATAAAGAGTCAATAATGTCCAGGGCCAAGTAAGTCCACACAGATTTGTGGCAATCAAAGTTACCTTTAAAATAAAGCTCAGCATTGCATGAATTCACTGAGACGCAGATGTGTATCCAAGTTAATCCACAGGGCGCAGCAACTTACACCAATCATGTCAAGTAGCAAAAAAAAAATTTTTAGGAGATGGCGCCCTCAATATCATGATTGAAACTTACTTTTTGATTGACAGGACTAAGGGCATCAGTGGTTGAATCAACAGGATAGACTTTAGAACGTTGCTCAGCGTAAGTATGGAAATTAGAAAGACCAGATACAAACTCTTTTATCAGTGTAGCAGCTTGTCCGATTACTTCCTTAGCTTTCATCTAAATATGACAAGAAACTGGGTCAGGGTGATAGTGATTTTTATCCCATAATATTTACTGTCCAGTTTTAAAAACAATGCAAAGAAAAAACTTGATAATAAAGAGTTATTTCTGACACTTAAATGCAAACAAACTTGGTAAGATGTATTTGAACAGTTCATATATCATTAAACTGAGATTTAAAGTTTAACCATCAAGATCACATACTTGCGTACCCTAGTGATGTCACTGATGATGTCATATGTAAAGTAGTATGTGATTTTGTGAGTTAAACATATCAATCACTGTGTCAATAGTAATTGTTCCAGGTTTAAAATATCAAAAGTTGTAGGCTGCACTGTAAAGTAGTTTTTAACTATCAGCATGCAACTGTCAGTCAAAAAATAACACTGACTGCCCAGCACTGATTCCTTGTGACAACATTACCTATAAATGATTTAATTAACAGAGATATGTATATTTAATAACAACAGCAGACAACAAAGCTACAAATCTATTATTTATTTGAGTACAACTGATTGGATCTCACCAACCAGCCACTGCATATGTGCAAAAAACATAAACAAATGTGTCATTTCATGTGTCAGGTTGTTCTAAGAATTCGAGGTATGTAAATGTGTCGAAATGGGCGTAGTGCGAGTGGTTAGTGCTAGTAGCACTAATCCGAAATAGTACTAGATCTAGTGCTAAAATGGCACTAGATCTAGCGCTAAAATGGCACTAGATCTAGTGCTAAAATGGCACTAGATCTAGTGCTAATATGTACATAGTGCGAGTGGCATTGATATCGCATTGTCAACGACGTCAATACATCCCGTAATTGTCCGAAAATGAATTAATATTTATGTAAATTGTTGTATCTTTCATTCATTGGAAATGTGCTGCAGTGGGAAAATTGAGAATGTACATGAATGTCATTGTCCACGTTTGTCGTAATCACGGTTACTAAAAGAGACCT